GAGTAAAAGAAAAGGAATGAGAAAGTAAGGAAATGACAGACACAAGGTTCCAGATGGAACTTACCTGGGCTGGAGAAGCCAGAGGTATAGGGTGGGGCATGTCCATGGGCAAGTTCCTTCAGGACAGTGACCTCCCAGGCTTGAATTGGACTATTAAAACGTAATTTTTACAAAACAGCCTGACATGCACTGGTGAGTCTGTTGTGAACCAAGGATCATGCTCAGCCCTGTATTGTGTTGCAGAAGGAAAGAAGCTTTATGTTCAACACATTACATTGTTGACTGATAGGGAGGAGAGAGGAGAGTAAAAGGGTTTCGTGGCCCAAGCAGACAACTATGCCCACGACCAGAAAGGGGCCTGGAGGCTCTGATGACCTTGGGCCACAAGGTGCCGTCAACTCCAATTTGCACCTTTGTATTTCATTTTTATTCTTGATTGAAGCAAGGTGGTACTTTCTAATTTGTTCAACTCCAGTTTGCTTATTTTCTGTGATTTAGTCATTGTTTGAATGGGTGGGAACCTCATTTTATAAGCAGTGTTATATAGCAAGAATTTTAACTTTTTACATGTATATTACAAACATTTGCCTGAGTTCTTCCTGGTGGGAGTTTTGGCCATTCCCCTCTCCAGGGAGAATTTTGAAAGTTGTTGATGCAAACCCTCAGCGGACCTATCTAGAAGCCATGACACTGTGGTCTCACAAGTGATGGAAAAGTCGGTGGTGCTGAGGCAGAACCTCTTCCAAGGGAGCCTCAGGTCTCCCATTTCACAAGCCTCTGACCCACCCTTGGGCTTCTGTCAAATGGCTTCTGGGCCAGATGTTGGAGAAAATCACAAACACCCTGCCCCACCCCAGGACTTCAGCCTGAGTGGTTTTGTCTAGGGCTGGGCTCTGCTCCCCACTAGCCTCAGGAATTCCACCCTGAGTTTCTCTTGCCTGGCTTTCCATTCCCCTCTGATGCTTCTGGAGTCTTCTATCCTTGAGCGCCTCCCTGTCCTGGGCAGCATAAGAACATTCTCAGCAAATAGTGGGTGCTGGGATCAGTGAGTTGTTGGAGTTGGGGTGCAGGAACACTCTATTGCGCTTGGTCCTCAGGGGTTGCCAATAACTAAATAGTAGTTTTTCTGGGTGTCAGTACTAACCTTGATCCTGTCCTGTTTTCTCAAAGTCCCTGACTTTTGTTTTAACAAACAACTGAGTCTGACAAAATTGCTTTGACCAAAGTCCAAGATCAGAGTCCGCAGGCCCCAGGTTGGACCAGGACACCTTTAGAGTATTCCCTCCATCTCAAACACTGTATTTCTTTCCTTTTGGGGGTCTCTGGGCTCCTGGTTTGTCATCATGGGAATCTTCCAAGTCCTCTCCACCACTGACCAACCAGCCCTTCCCAACACTTTCATCAGTACACTAACAGCAGCAGCACTAACCAGCACCCCCATGTGCGCCTGACAATTGGCCTTGCCACTTCGTATCCTGTAAGTTTAACCAGAAGCAACTGTTGGCCTCAGTGAACCCAAGAGTAATGTTGTTTTTCCATAATCACAAAGGCAGTCACAGACTGAGCAGTAGCTCAGTCCAGGTCTTCAGACTCCAGGGGCCATGCCTCAGTCCTATCTCATCCTCGGCTTCTGTTCTATCCCATCCAGCAGCTCCTGAAAGGGGGCACCTGTGATTTGGTTTCAGAGGGTCTCAGTTGCCCAGGACACTGCCCTTTGGCTGGTGTAGCTTTAGCAGATTCCACCCTTAAGGCCCAAGGCTCCTTTCTCCCTTATGTAGAAAGAAGAATGGTCTCGCAAAAATACCCATGCCTTACTCCCTGAAACCCGTGAACATGTCACCTTAAATAGCAAAAGGGACTTAAGAGATGTCATTAAATGGGGATCTCGAGAAGGGGAGACCATCCAGGATTATCGAGTGGCCCCAACCCAGATCATTACAATGATCCGTACAACTGGGAGGCAGGAGTGTCCTCTGTAGAGACGTGGAGGTGCAAGAGGTGGCGAAGCAGCCACAGGGCGGTCACTGCAGGCGGCCTCTGGAAGGAGAGGGGCCCCGTGGCAGATGCCCCCAGCCTCCAGCATGGTCCAGCTGACCCAGTTTTAACTTCTGAGCCCTTGCATGCAAAGATAATAATACATTTGTGTTGTGTTTGAGCCACTGACTGTGATAATTCAATACCGTGAATTTTCTGAGCCCTTTGCCCCCAGAATCACACCGAAGGAGTGAGAGCACGTTGCGTCCTCCTCCTTGAACTTAGAGGTGGGGAAACTGAAACTCAGAGAAGGCAAACAACAGGTGCAAAGCATATAGATTCAGTGGCTGCAGTGAGCCGCGAAGCCCCTGTTCCTGGCAGCCCTTGGGTCTCTGTCCTTAATGACCCGCTGGCCCTTGTCCTTGTTTTCCTTATTGCCTGAATTTCCTTATTGCCTGAATCCATCGGGCTTCTCCAGCAATGCCCTAAGGAAGATGAACAGGAGTGTCAGTTACTCTTGCCTAGTTTGAAATAGCAGGGAGTAGCACCCTGAGTGAAGCTGAGCAGAGGCAGCTGGGGAATGCAGATAGCCGCGGAGGCAGCTCGAAAGGGAGACTTTAGGAGGGGCGCGGCCAGGGCAAGGTCAGGCAAGCTTCCTCCACAATGACCAGGCCACAGTGGCAAAGTGCAGCTCATCTCTGGGCAGGAGCATCGACCCCTTGGCGCCTGCTAACCCGACTGGCTCCAGTTTTGATTTAGCAAGAACCTCCCCTGGAGTGTAATGTTTCTTCCCAAGGATCCAGGGCTCACCTCCCAATATCTCTCAGGGACGTGACGCTGGCAGCAGTGAGAAAGGAACCTGATTCCTCCATCTAGGCAGGAAGGCGGCCAGGGTAGCTGCTGCTTCTATGAGTCGGGTGCTCACATGTCAGTTTCTCTTTTAATCTTTTATTCTCTTTTAATGTCATGATGCCCATTTTCCAGATGAGGAAACAGGCTTGGACAGGTAGAGCCCAGTCACCATGGCTCCAGATCAGCCAGGGGTGGTCCCAGGATTGGATGGCCCCCAACAATACTGGGTAGAATTGGTGACCCCCATCCCCTGTCCCTTTTTCAACACGGACCAAACATGGATCTGAAGGATGAGCTGACGGTGGGGACTTCTGGCCTCAGCAGTGAGTGGCAGAGAAGGTGCACAGTCATTGACATGCTGAGCTGGCGCCTGCTGGCATGTGAGAAGTGCCGCTCCCATCTGAGGCTCAGAGACATTCAGCAAATGTCCACGGAAGAACCCATGCTTACTGAGTAATGCTAGGCTGGGAATATTCCCACCATGGCAAATGTGATTCACCGGAGCTTTCTCTCCCTCCCGCATCTGTCCCCCCTTCCACTGCTGAGAGTTGGTTGTTAAACTTGTCTCAGGAGGCTTATCCCTTGATCAGGGCCCTGTGGTATTCAACTAACCCTGCCTGTCTCGCTGTCTCCCTGCTTCCCCTCACCTACCCTCTTCTGCAACAATCCCATGCTGCCCTGCTTCTCTGCCCAGAGGCCAGGATTCCACACTGGTCTTTCTTGAGTGACCACAGCTGAGTGTGCTGCCTACAGTGAACAAATAAACACAATCAAGCCTACCCCCGGGAGTGACACCACCACTATCATAACCTAACGCTGGACCCCCTAGTGGCACAGGAATTAAAGTCTCAACACATCACCGGCCACTGTGGCTGGGTGCCCTCTTGCTCCAGGGAGCTGAGGCCACTCTTGTCCTGCTCACTGCTCCCCTCAGCAATGTATTTCAGTACATACCCCTGTTTTGCTCCTCTTCAACTCTGGTGAATCTTCTCACCTCCCCCACCCCCAACCAGAAGGCCTATACCCCAGTTCTTGTATGCATAAATAAATAAAAATAATTTTTAAAAACTCAAAGCCAAGGGCACTTCCAAGAGAAAATAATTTTGCTGATCTCTTCACCACTTGAAAATCATACTCTTTAAAATGCAGCCTGAACCCTCCCCTTCCACAGAAGCCTGCCCAAGCTGCTGGTCTGGTGCAAACCCTGCTTGGCCCTCCACCCCAAGTGCTCAGGGAGTGTCACTCCTCGGCCTTTGCACCTGCTCCTGGGAGCAGAGTCACCTCTGGGGCTCCCTGGCCTCCTCCACAGGTGGGATCCCAGGGGCTGGGACTTACCAGCTCAGAGACATTCAAGCAGTGACATGGGGCTCATCCGCACCATCATCTGCCTGCCCCCCTCTTTCTTGTTTTCCCTTGCTTGATTTTCTTCCATCTACCCTGGTATCTTGGACACAGTGGCGGCACCTCCCTACTCTGAGAGTTATTTTCCAGCCTGGGTCCACTCTGTGCCAGCAGCCTCAGCCCACGACCACAGAGTATAGCCAAACCAGAGTCCCACTGCTTGCACTAGAGTCGTAGTTAAGTGCTGCCTCCAGTCAATTGCAGCCAACCACCGTGGGCAGTGACCCACAGATGGTGGTGCCAATGAACCCCACATAACTGCTTGAATGTCCTTGAGCTGTGAGTTCACCCCCAGTTCCACTAGAGGAGGTTTTCCAGCTGCTCTGGGAGCACTGGGGTGGAAATTGAGCAAAGCCAGGACTCCGCTCTGGCTCAGCCTGGTGTGGTCCTCCCTCTGCCTCTAACTGGCGCTTTAATCCTACAATTCCGGTCCAACTGTGGCTGGGACAGGGTTATGGAAAACGGCCTGGTTGGGAGCACGGGGGGGCATAAAATTTACTTGGGAGGAGAACTGGTTCAGGGCTGGGGTCTCATTTTCTTCTTCCTGGATTTGAGAGAGCATCAGGTATTGAACTCTGCTATGAACACAGTCATACCACACTACTCTGAAACTAACTCTACCCAGGACTGCAGAGCGCTTCGGTGATCCAGGATCTTTTCTCAGAACTTTGCATGCCTTACTTCATTTCATCCTTGCAGATAACACCTGGACGTTGCCTTTATTATCTCTGTTTCATATATGAGGAAACTGAGTCACAGAGAGGCTAAGGAACTCACCCAAGGCCACATAGTTAACAAGTAGCACAACTTGGATCTGAACCCAGGCCCAGTGTCTCAGGAGGTAACTTATTAAAAGACAGGGGTGAGAGACGAGATTAGAGGG